CAGTTCTTTCTATCTCGGAGCCAAGTACTGATCCTTGCAGTACCCCACTGGTCACAGCCTGCCAATGTGAGAATGACCCACTTATTCCTACTCTGTTTTCTGTCTATTCACTAATCATTAATCCACGCTAGTATATTACCTCCTATTCCATGTGTTTTAATTTTTCTAACTAGTCTCTTGCATCAATAGCCTTCCGAAAATCGAAGTATACAACTTCTATTGGATTCCCTTTATCAATTTTGTGAGTAATATCTTTAAACTACTCCAACAAGTTTGTTAAGCAAAATTTTCCATTCACAAATCCATGCTGACTATACCTAATCAGATCATTATCAACCAGATTTCTATTTATCCCATCATTTATATTAGATTCTAGCATTTTCCCCACTACTGGCATAAGGTTAACAGGTCTGTCCTGCCTTGTCTTCTCTCTCATTCCCTTGTTATTTTCCAATCCACAGGAAACATGTTAGAGTCCATACAATTCTGGAAGAAAATCATCAATGCATCACCTATCGCCATAGCTCACTCCTTCATCTCTCTGGGCTTTATCAGCTTCTAACTCCATTAATTTCTTCAGTACAATTGTTGTACTAAGGTTAATTACCTTCAATTCCTCATTCTCCCTAGCCACTTGGGACTGTTGGTCTGGGAGATTTCTGGTATCTGCTTCAGTGAAAACAGACGCACAGTAATCTTTTAGCTTCTCTGCAATTTCTCCATTCCCCATTATGAATTCACCTGACTCTGCACTTACTGGACCCACTCTTTTAAGCCAAACATTTTACGTTTACGCCTTCCGAAAACGTTACAGTCCATTTTTACGTTTTTTGCTAGATTGCATTCACAAGGAATTCTCCCCTTCCTTGGTTTCTTAGCTGTCCTTTATTGTACATACAATGCTGAACTTTCTATGTTAGCCATGATCAACCATTTTTGAAGGAATATATGTCACTGTTAGTCATGTTATGGCTCTTTAAAGACTATCCATTGCCTATTTATGGTCATCTTTAAATAGATTTTCTCAAACTACCTCAGCCGCTTTTTGTCTCATACCTTATGATTTCCCTTATTAAAGTTTAACACCCTTGTTTCAGAATTAACTAACCTCTCTTCCAAACATAATGTAAAATTTTAAGATATTGTCATCACTCATCCTGAAAGGATATCTTACAAGAAGATTGCTAAATAGCTTGCTTTTGTCCCATCTAGATCTAAAATCACATACAGTCATACAGTTATACAGCACGGAAACAGACACTTCGGTCCAACTCATCCATACCAGCCAGACATCTCAAACTGATCTAGTCCCATTTGCTAGCATTTGGCCTATATCCCTCTAAACTCTTCCTATTCATATACCCATCCAGATTCCTTATAAATGTTATAATTGTACCTGCCTCCACCACTTTCTCTGGTAGCTTGTTCTATACCTGTACCATCTTCTGTGTGAAAATGTTGCCTCTCAGGTCCCTTTTAAATCTTTCCCCTCTAAGCATAAACCTATGCCCTCTAGTTGTGTACTGCCCTTCTCTAGGAAAAAGATTTTGGCTATTCACCCTATCCATGCCCCTCATGATTTTATAAACCTCTATAAGGTCACCCCTCAGCCTCTGACGCTCCAGGGAAAAATGCTCTGACCTATTCAGTCTCTCAAACCCTCCAATTCCAGCAACATTCTTGTAAATCTTTTCTGAAGCCTTTCAGGTTTCACAACATCTATCCAATAGCAGGGAGACCAGAATTAAATGCAGTATTCTAAAAGTGGCCTCACCAATGTCCTGTATGGCCATAACATGACTATCCAACTTCTGTACTCAATGCACTGACCCCAAACATATTGCTGCAGAAAACCACCCTTATCCCACTCCAGAAATATATCCTCCACAACTTTAGAGCTCAGCTGGTTTACCCAGTCTGTATGCAAATTAAAATGATTCACTCACATGGGACCACCCGCTATTATGATGAGCCTGCCTCCCTGCTTTTAACTGGTCTGTCTCTTTAAAAGTCTGGTTGGTTATGTCTAGAACATGCCACGTTGGAGGGTTCACTCCAGGTGAACTGGTGGCTGGGTTCCTCTAGTCATAAGGGTCAGTGTCTACCCCAGAGCCAGGGCCCCAGGCTGGACCATTCATCTCCCACTCACTTCAGAAACCCACAGACTGAAGAAAAGCATCTGTTGAAGTTGGCAGTCAGCAACTTTATTTAATGGTTCCCACATAGAGTTTTGGCTGAATGCCCAACGTCTCCATACCACAAATTGTTTGGGTTTGAAATTCATCTCTGCTGTAAATTTGAAAGTGAGCACACTGTTGCTTTACACAAACACGTCTGTAAAGCACAGTATCATAATGGAAAACTCTGGATATACTGCTAATCCGGGTCATATATCTAAATGGGGCAGTTAATTGGAGTCAGGTCTGTCATGAGGCCTTGTTGGAGAGACTCAGGCCTTCAAATGTTGAACAGAAATCTGGCCATTGCAGTCAGGTGATTTGTTCTGATGTTAATAAACATGAATCAACAGTGTGTAAAGAATAAAAGTCTGAACTCTACACTGCAGCTGCTGTTAAGGAGAAGTCTGAACAAAGGAAGAGAATCAAGATAAGACAACTGCAGTGTAGTTTTTGCTGTGTTTATTCAAGGCAGCTGGACACAGGCCATACCAGATGTACAAGATTGCTGAATCTTCAAAGACCATCTGCTAAAGTGCTTAAAGAATACTTCAAGACTCAATAACCTGATCAGAAAATAGTTGCATTTCTGCCTTTCTATACTGGTTCCAGTGGAGCTAGTACAGATCATGTCTGAACTTTAATGGAGGGAATGTGAATAACTAGAGCTACCTTTAAAACTTGATTTGGCAACTAAGGCAATTTAGTAATTAATTAAAACTTGAAAAAAAATCATATAAGAAAGCAAAAATCTAAACACATGATGTTGAATGGGCAAATATCTTGGACATCAATATCTTCATTCCTGTTAGTGAAGACACCATATTGGAAAAGGAAAACCAAACATTGCACTGAAAATAGCATTTAGAACAGCAGAACCATCAACTACTTTCAGCTTTAGTACTACAACAACAAAGATGCAAGAGCTTCAATCAACTAAGAATGCTATGTGACAACAAAGCAAGTGTAGGACAAGGAATAGAAAATCCTTAGGGATCACTCAAATCAAGAGAATAATCAACAAATTCAGGAGCCTATCAACAATCAAACACTGCAACAACATTCACCTGTACCAATCTTTTCACTAGAAATACTGAAGCTTCCAGATGCATTTGGTTATCAGTTAACTGGCAGACATGAAAAGTCCAATTCCTAAGATTTCCAGCAGCTTTTGGATTGAACATCAAATCAAATGCAGTATTTAGAAAAGTGTTCAAGAAACATTATATGGCAAAGGGTCTTGTTTTAAAATATAGACCATTCTATAGGGCATGTTAACTATGTAAAGCACAATAAACCCTCTGAACTGAGGAGACAGACCTAACAATACACCACTTGTGACATCAACACAAAATCCTAAGCAATCTAATGCTACACTAGTTCGTCACAGATGTGATTTCAAAACCCCAGATCAGCAAAGGCACAACTGTCCAACCTTTTTCAAACAACGTTGTTATTGTAGCAAAAGAGATCACTCCTCAACCATTTTCTTCAGTGGGATGAACAGATTAAATGACAAATCCAATCATTGCTGAACCAACATGCACATTGATACCTTGGAATAGAACCTTGAAGAACAAGCTTCTTCACATGAAGAACAACAACATATCGCTGGACTGCTTCATTTCTTTGTAAGGGAACGAACAACAGTATTCAAAACGAATACTGGAGCAGAAGATATATAGCCACTTTGTAATTCTCATCCACCACAGCAGTTAAATTACCACAAAACTTCCTTCAACCATACCAACTGGATCTCTGATCTGGGTTCTGGGGAAGGGTCACTCCACCCGAAACATTAACTCTGATTTCTCTCCACAGATGCTGCCAGAGCTTTTCCAGCAATTTCTGTTTTTGTTTCTAATTTACACATTCTGCAGTTCTTTAGGTTTGAATCTCTGATCTAATGTGAGCCAGCACAGAAAATACAAGATCACTAACTTTACCTCAAGTTGTCATAGTATAACTTGTTATAAACTTTCCTGATCTACCTATCTACCGATCAAAACAGATGAATCAAGTCAAGGACTTGTAGGACAGATAGGAATAAAATGTACAATAAATGTTCTAAATAAAACCAAGGTGATGCCTTTGAATACATGTATAACTGTCAATGTTTACGATGAGGGCAGAAAAGGCCTTCAGCACCCTGGTGCAAGCTTGCAATGATGTCATCAAGGTGCACATCACTGACCATAAATAGCACAGTGTAGGTGGAGTGAGAATAATCATTCTGGAAGATTCATATGAGGACATAGGCATGACCACACAAAGTAGTTAGATTAGTCCATAAAAGCCAGAGTCTGGTGTATCTATGATTATGATGAATAGCAATATTGAGTAGTAGTGTATAATAAATAGTTAGTTTGAAGTTTCACTCTGAAGTCAGTTCTCGATTTTGCCTTAAGACTCAACAAACACACCCCAGACAGGTACAGCTGCAGTTAGGTACACAGTAAAGTTCCCTTTCCACTGGCCCCATCAAACACTCTACAAATAACATTAAACTGACTGGACAGTAGTTACCTGTTTTCCCTCCCCAAATTGTTGTGATATCCTTGAGTGAAGAAAGCTTTTGAAGATAATTTTTTATAAATATGTAATTTATATATCTCCCTTGGACCATGGGATATGAAGTTGCCTGTGTGTAAGTCTGGTGCTTATGATATCTATTTTTATAATGGATTACTGACTAAATCTTTAAATAAAGCCTTTGGTGCATTGTACTTTCTGCTCTGAGATGCACAATAACCTCAGTTCAGGCCTACACAGAAACATTACTGAGTGCTTGGTGCAAGAATTGCAGTGATGACTGCTTATTACCTTCTGCTTGGCAATTCCACTGGCTTCCTGTAAGAGATTGATAGAAAAGTTCAGAATTAATTTCATTTTACAAACAATATTTGGCCAGTTTCCACCTCCTCTGCTGAAGACAGCACCTCTGTCTGGGTTTGAGATTCACCAACACTCCAACTCTCCCCAGTTTGACTCATTTATTCGGAAAGTTGTGCATCTGTCGATGATTGAACTCTCCAACGCCTTACCAAACATGCCTCAGTACTGGATTGTGCTCAGGAATGAAACACTGGTTGGTTTTCCTCTGCTGAGGCTGGATTTGACACCCACCAGTCAACCTGCATATGGCGACCTACAAAACAGCAATCAAACCTGGGACTCCCCAGCGGTGTTCCTTTATCCACTGGGCCATTGAGAGAACTTAAATCCAGATGTAATTTGAACCTTTACCACGTTTCTGAGCATTCCTGAGTTTTATGAAGAATGGGGATCAGGTTGATTCTTCTAATCACCTTTTTGAGGCAAACTGAAACGTCAATCAGCCAGGAATGGATTCTATTTGCAGGATCTTAGGATCTAGGCAGCTCAGCAAAGTACAGCAGTACAACAGGGCATTTAGCAATGTCAGAACCGAGTGATACAGACAGTGCAACAAAGACCAGGGGAAACGTTCGAAACAGACAAGAATCATATTTAACTCTACACAAAGCAAGAAACAACAGTACCCATGGAGTTTGCTGTATGTACCGCCATTAAAAATCTATCTTTTTAAATATGGTATCCCTGTGTATTCAGTGCTTTCAGGATCTGGCCAATTAGTTGAAGAAGTGGAGAGCCTGGAGGCAAGGGATTCAGATTTTCAGAGAGACGGGTAAACTCTATGAAGCGACAGCAGCCTAAAAGGAGCTGATTGGTGAGAGTAGAATGATAGAGTGGTTACAACATGGAATGAGGCTATTTGGCTTTGTCATGTCTGTGCTGGCCCTCTGAAAAACACTCTTGTTCTATTCCTCTGCCAGCGCCCTAAAATTCTGCAAACAATTTTTTCTCTGATTCACTTTGGAAAGCAATGATTGAATCTGGCTCCACTGCCTATTCAGGTCACACACTCCAGATCCTCAGCACTCACTTTATAAAAGCATTGCTCCTTGAGTTGTCCTGGGTTTATTTGTCAATCACCTTAGAAAAAAAAGTTCCTCTGGCCCTCAATCTTTCTGCCAGTGGGATCTAATCTGTCAAAATCTCTGATGATTTCAAACGGTTCTGTCAAGACCACTCTCAACCTGCAGTTATTTAAATAAAACAACTTCTGTTTCTCCAATTTGAACTGAAGTTCTTCATTTCTGGAATTGTCCTTATGAGTTTGTTCTACGTTCACTTCAAAGCCTTCACATTCTTCCATAAGTGTAGAGCTCAGGACTAGACAATGCGTTTTATGTTGGTTTCATCAGAGCTTTCTTGCTTTTCTACTCCATGCATCTATTTATAATACTCAATTTCCCAAACACCTTTTTAGGTGTTCTCAACGTGTTCAACTACCTTTCAACAACTTGTGAACATATGTAAGGTTCAGGACATGAGGAATGTAAGGAAAGCAGGACAGTACTCAAGCAAGGAATTAGGACAACAAGAAGGGGCCATGAAATGACCTTGGAAAGTAGGGTTAGAAAGAACCCCAGGGCATTCTATAGATACAATAAAAACAAGAGGATAACTAGGGAGAAGGTAGGACCACTCAAGGATAAAGGGGGAAATTTGTGTTTGGAGGCCAAGGATGTGGCGAGATCAGAAATGAGTACTCTGCATTTTGGAGATAGTAGGAACTGCAGATGCTGGAGAATCTGAGATAACAAGGTGTAGAGCTGGATGAACACAGCAGGCCAAGCAGCATCAGAGGAGCAGGAAGGCTGATGTTTCGGGCCTAGACCCTTCTTCAGAAATGGGGGAGGGGAAGGGGG